TCTCTATGTCTTCCTGCTCCTCTAGCTCATATTTTCTTGATCCAAATTTATAGGATCTGGATAAGAATAGATCCATATCTGGGATATAATAACACTGATAACAATAACAAAAACACTTTGCATTTGTAAACCACTTTCTTCTCTTCATTATTTCCCTGGGGAAAAATAAACAATAAGATATTTCTATTTCTCCAAATTTTGTTCTGGTTTTTATCAGTGTTCCTGAAGCTATTTCAATATAGTCATGATCAATTTATAAGAATAATTTTAGGTTCTGCTTTTTTATGTAACTGTGTTATATACACATTCACATATTTAAACACAGCAATTATTATGGCTTTACAGTAACCCATGATGTTAATATGCCACAGATACTACATTACTGAGGCAGTGTAACTTTGTGAAGAGAACACTAGGCTGAGGCTGACAACACCAAATGCCGGCAGGAATGTGGAGCATCAGGAACAGGAATTTGTGGCTGATGGGAATGCAAAATGGTACAGCCACTTTGGAAGGAAGTGTGGCAGTTTCTTAAGAAACTAAACATACTCTTACCATATGATCCAGGAATCATGCTCCTTGGTATCTACCCAAAGGAGATGAAAATCCGCTAATGGATGTTTATAGCAGCTTTATTCATCATGGCCAAATCTTGAAAGCAACCAAGATGTCCTTCAGTAGGTAAATGGATAAATAAACCCTGGCCATGCTGAAATGGAATATTATTCCGTGCCAAAAAGACCTACAAAGCCCTGAAAAGACATGGAGGAACCTTAAATTTCATTACTAAGTGAAAGAAGCCAATTTGAAATGGCTACGTATTGTACAATTCCAACTGTATGACTTTCCAGAGAAGGAAAATTATGAAAACAGGAAAAAGAGCAGTTGTTTCCAGGGGTTAGGGAAGGGGGATTGACTAGGCAGAGCGTAGAGAACTTTTACAGCAATGAGACTATAATGGTGGATACACATCATTGTACATTTGTCCAAACCCACAGAATGTACAACACCAAGAGTGAACCCTAATGTTGACTATGGACTTTGGGTGATTATGATGTCAATGTAGTTTCATCACATGTAAGCAATATGCCACTCTGGTGGAGGATGTTGACAGTGGGAGAGGCTGTGCATGTGTGGCGACGGGGGCATATGGAGACTCTGTATAACTTTCCTGTCAATTTTGCTCTGAATCTTGCCTTGTCGCCCAGGCTGGAGTGCAGTGGCGCGATCTCGGCTCACTGCAAGCTCCGCCTCCCGGGTTCCTGCCATTCTCCTGCCTCAGCCTCCCGCGTAGCTGGGACTACAAGCACCCGCCACCACACCCGGCTAATTTTTGTATTTTTAGTAGAGATGGGTTTCACCATGTTAGCTAGGATGGTCTTGATCTCCTGACCTCATGATCCGCCCACCTCGGCCTCCCAAAGTGCTGGGATTACAGGCGTGAGCCACTGTGCCGGGCCTGTCTTTTTTAAAAAAAAAATTTAAAAAGCATGAGGTGATACAGATGTGGGAGTTTGACTCCTATCTCTGTCCAACTCCGTGACATTTGATAAATCACTTAACATGTCTCAGTTTTAGTTTCCTCATCTATAACTGGGAACAATAATACCTATCTGATAGAGTTGCCATGGGTATGAAATGAGGCATGTGTCTCGTTCATATCCGATGTTCAATGAATTAGTAGCAGTAGCCACTGTGTGTTTGTGTGTCTTTCTCCCTCATGGGTTAATGAGCTCCTTGTGGGCAGGGGCTTACTCATTCTGTAACCACCCATCTAACACACTGCCTGGCACTTGGGCTCCATAGAAGTTTGCTGAGTGAATACTTGGTAAGCTCTAACCTAGGCTTTTCTCTCTGGTGAACATTTGGGTTGTTTCCAGGGTTTTTGCTATGAACAAAATACATTTCAAAGCCTTCGTGTTTTTGTTGTTGTTGTTGTTTGGGGTGTTTTTTGTTTGTTTGTTTTTCATTTGATCTGCACACCCTGTGAAGCAGGCAGAAAGGGGATATTTGCACTTGTCCACACCCTGGTATAGATGGAATAAGTGTGGCTCAGGGAAGTGAAGTGACTCCTATGGTCACAGTGCAAATCAGTGACAATAATTAGAACCCCTGACCCTGCCTTCCTTCCTTTAGTAGATCTATTTTCCTTCTAGCTACCGCCTTCTGGATCCATGGCCTCTCCAGAACTAGAGACCGTGATGGTCGGCGTGAGCTGAGAGCAGCACCTGCACACAGAGACCCATGTTGAAGGTGGTGAGCTGCCAGTTCCCAGATGGCCCTCTGAAACCCCAGGGAACCTAACACCTTATTCTCAAATACATGAAGGCTTGTATTTTCCCCGAGCAAGGAGCTTCTTAGGAAAGAGCCAGTGTGCCAGCTTTGTTTTTCTTTCTTCTTCTTCTTTTTTTTTTTTTTTTTTCCTATGAGGGGGTGAGGAGCCAAGCTCTGAGTTGTCCAGAAGGAGGGACTTAGGCTAAAAATAGCTATGGCGTGTGGTTTGGATCAACCCCTAGTGGTACCCAGGACTGGGGAGGGGAGGGGGATGCTCTGGAGCTGTCGCCAGACTGGTTGCCGTGGAAACGAGAGAGGAGCAGGGGAGCCTGGGAAGTAGGGATGACACAGATAGCAAGTCCTAGTCAGAGCCGCCGCTACATTTAGGAGAAACAGCAGTGTCTGCGGCTCCCACCCTTCAGGGGGCCCGTGGGGGGGGCGGTGTCAGGGGCATGGACGCCACCCCCCAGGGGTCTCTGCTGCCGGCTACTCTCCTCTCCACGTGCTGTGAGTTGAGTTGCGGGGGACTTGGGGTTTGGGCCCCTATTTCCAAGGCAAGTGGGGGTTTGGGAGGAGCTGGTTCTTGGGGGAGTTTACACCAGGTCTCTACTTCCAAAAAATGAGCCCCCTTACTCCCCAGATCTCTAGAGGGAGGAAGAGGGGCCCAGGAAAAGTGGTACTGCGATCGTCTGCAAAGGGGTCATAGCATGCACAAGAAATGAGGAGTAGGTTGGAGGAACTGAAATTCTTGGAGGGAAGATGGAGAAATCAAGTCCTTGATCTTGGGATAGAGGTAACAATTTCACACTTTCCCTTCCCCTGAGAAAAATGCAGTCCCCCACTCAGGAAGACAGGATTTGGGACACATTCAAAATAAGGTTTGCCTAGATCCCTGGGGCAATGGAGAGTGAGAGAGTTCTGGGGGTGATCAGACATTGGGGTTCCTTCCCCATCCCTAGGCAAACAGATCTGCCTAAGCAGGCCGACTGGGGGTCAGATTACTTATGACCCTGAGAGAACATCTGAAAGCCTACCTGGAACTAAAGCTAGGATGATGACAGCAGGGTCGTTTTCTGCATGACCTGGGGTCTCTGAGCCAGTCAATGCTTACTCTTCCTGAGGACATCTGAGCTTCAGGGAAGGAAAAGGAAGCTCACTGTCGGGGGCAGGGGAGACCCTAATCTTCCATTGCCATGGGGCTCTTGGACCCTGTGTCCCCTGACTCCATGGACAATAAATGCAGGGGGTGCCCCTAAGCTCAAAGCCATTTCATTTTGATTTCTCTTCCTGCCCTCTCTACCCCAACACACACACACACACACACACATACCCTCTCCAGAGTGCTGACTGCACAGCACCTCACCCCAGAACATAAAATGCTGGAGTGCTAGGTTTAGAGTCACATACCCAGGCAGTTTCTCCCCAGGACCTGGTCAACCATCCAGGCCATCTGTGGTTCCTATGGCACACTCCTCCATCCCCCACCCACTAGCCAGCCCACGTTTCCGTGGAGTGGGAGGAGAGGATCATTCCCAGGAAAGAGAAGGGAAGGTAGAAGAGTCCCAAATCCTTATTCTAAACCTTTCCCTGTATGGTCCATATCTCCCAGAGGACCCTGGGTGCTTTGGGGAAGGGCTTTGGACCTCTCTCAGAGCAGATTGCAGCTCAGAGAACTCCTCGGAGGGAAGCATGTGAAGCAAAAGCAGGTGGGCTTCACTTGGAATGTGGGCTTTGGGGCATATGGCAGGTGGGGGCGGGGCTGGTGTTAGGATAGTCCATGGGAAGTAAGAGGCTGGGGGAAAATATAACTAGAGGGAGTGGGGAAATAAATGTGGGTGCTTGGTGCTTCACTTGATCTGATTCCATGTCTCTCATGAAGAATAGGATCCCAGAGGGATATGAGCCTAACTCTTGATAACTCTGGGCTTCCTTTCCCAGGCCTCTGTGTGGGGATCTTCCAGTTCCTCTCCCCATTTGCAAGCTGTCTCCACTAGGAGAAAAAACCCAAGGGAAATGGGGCTGGCCCAAGAGCAGCAGTGATCGGGGGTAGGTCTCAGGGAGGATTGCTAGTGGGAATTTCCTAATGTTCCACCCTTGTGCACTGGAGGGTTTCCACTGACTTTCCACGGCTTTCATTTTTTTCTCCTTTGTAAGCGTGTTGAGGGGAGGGAGTGGAGTGGAGTGAGTGAGGTCCAAGGAGGGAAGAATGAGAAAGACTGTGTGTCAGTCTTGGGGTGAACTTCAAAACAGCCTGCGAGGCGAGCCATTGGTGGTTGCACTGGCTACAGCTGGGGAAAAGATGGTGGAAGTCCTTAGGGCAGGGAGAGCTCCATTACCAGCCTGCCCCCCTCCCCAAAAAGTCCCCAGTCTAGTGATTTCAGGAAGTCACTAGGGGGATCTGGGCCTGGGTCTTTGGCCCCGGGGCTGCCCCAGAGGCGCTGCACACCCCACCTGGAGGTGATGGCACCAAGATCCCTGGTACCTCTTTCCCCTGAAAATCATCGTGGAACTTCTACAGTTCTATCCAGTTCAGGTACATTATTCCATTTGACCCTCACCACTTTCTGAGCCTGGGGGGCAGTTAGGGCTGAATGTGTTATTCCCAGAAATAGAGGCTGGGAAACACGAAGGGACTCGCCCAGGGCCCTCAGGGCTCGGTGCTGGCCCTGATGTCCCGTGTCTCCCCGTCTCCCGAGGGGCCACTCATTCGGCAAACCTTTATTAAGCCCCTCCAGGATCCCCGACGCCGCCGAGGCGCCCAGCGACGCGCGGCGGGTGGCGGCAGCTCGGGCCCCCGCCGCACTCCAGGCGCCCGCAGCGCTCGTCCTGACGCGGCCGCCATGGCGCAGGAGAACGCTGCCTTCTCGCCCGGGCCGGAGGAGCCGCCGCGGCGCCGCGGCCGCCAGCGCTACGTGGAGAAGGATGGCAGGTGCAACGTGCAGCAGGGCAACGTGCGCGAGACATACCGCTACCTGACCGACCTGTTCACCACGCTGGTGGACCTGCAGTGGCGCCTCAGCCTGTTGTTCTTCGTGCTGGCCTACGCGCTCACCTGGCTCTTCTTCGGCGCCATCTGGTGGCTGATCGCCTACGGCCGCGGCGACCTGGAGCACCTGGAGGACACCGCGTGGACGCCGTGCGTCAACAACCTCAACGGCTTTGTGGCCGCCTTCCTCTTCTCCATCGAGACCGAGACCACCATCGGCTACGGGCACCGCGTCATCACCGACCAGTGCCCCGAGGGCATCGTGCTGCTGCTGCTGCAGGCCATCCTGGGCTCCATGGTGAACGCCTTCATGGTGGGCTGCATGTTCGTCAAGATCTCTCAGCCCAACAAGCGCGCCGCCACGCTCGTCTTCTCCTCGCACGCCGTGGTGTCGCTACGCGACGGGCGCCTCTGCCTCATGTTCCGCGTGGGCGACTTGCGCTCCTCACACATAGTGGAGGCCTCCATCCGCGCCAAGCTCATCCGCTCGCGCCAGACGCTGGAGGGCGAGTTTATCCCGCTGCACCAGACCGACCTCAGCGTGGGCTTCGACACGGGAGACGACCGCCTCTTCCTCGTCTCGCCGCTGGTTATCAGCCACGAGATCGACGCTGCCAGCCCCTTCTGGGAGGCGTCGCGCCGTGCCCTCGAGAGGGACGACTTCGAGATCGTTGTCATCCTCGAGGGCATGGTGGAAGCCACGGGTGCGAGCGGGCCTGGGGAGGGGAGCGGGGCTGGCAGAGGGTGGGCAGGGCCCAGGAAGGCAGGGGCAAGACGAGGGGCCGGGGAGGTGGGGAGGATGGGTGGAGGGGCTGGTGGAGGATGACAGAGTGAGGTGAGACAGGGGTCGGGGGTGGAGGTGGAACTGAGCAACGCTGCAGAAGGCCAAGAGAAAGCTTGGAGGAATTCTTCGAAATGGCACTGGCGTGGGGCCCTGGGCCCAGAGGAATGTGTCACTTGGAATAGGGAGAGTAATAATAGCTAGTGCTCAGCCAGTACTCACCCTGTGTCATGCACAGTTCCAAAGCACTTTCCACCTCTGAGTCGATTTAATCCTAACAAGATTAAAGGTAACTTCTTGTTATTGTGCTCAATTTTCAGAGATGAGATTGCTCCAATGAGAAGTTAAGGAAATTGTCCACTTTCCTAAGCCAATAAGTGGCCATGCCTGGATTGGACATAGGCAATGTGGCTTCAATGTTTAGTGGTCCCGAGTTGGAAGGAAGGGTTAGGTTCAGGGGTTTTCTCACTGCAGCCAGGTTCAGGGCCCTGGAATTTGACGGTGAAGGTTTTCCATTGCCTGAGTTATTTCTAGGCTGGATCTTGAGGGGAGCTTAATACCTGGTCTCACTTCTGCCTCGGTTTCCCAATTCATCCATTTCCACTGACAAGGGATATAGATGATGTTACCATTTCTAGCCCTTTTCCAAAAGGAACTGGCAACTCATCTGTGATGTCAATAAGTCCAACCCAGACCTACACAGTGAAGGCTTTGGAAGCAGGTGGGAAAAGACCAGTGTTACAGGAGTCGCAAAGGAGTTTACTTAGGACTTGAGATCTAGAGGATGGATGAGGATGAGGAAACTGCGGGTGGAGGACCAAAGGCCCACTAGGGGGCGCGGCAGTCCCTGCTTCTGAAGCCAGAGTTGCTGATGCTCCCTGCCGGCTTCGCTGACAAGCTGGTGCCTTCAGATCCTTTCCCTGGCCCCTTTAGGCTGAGCCTCCGCTTCACACCCCAACCCCACCTCCCCATCACTGTTCCCATTCCTGCTTAACCCCGACTCTTTCCCCTTCCCCCATTCACCCCGTTCCCTTTCCTCTCTCTCCAGCTGTCACTCCTTTTTTGCCAGTATCTCAGGCAGGCCCCTCACCCTCCAGTGAAGTTCCTGCCCGGCCCTCTTTTCTCTTTGTACCCCCAGCCCTGCCCTCTCCTCCTCGAAGCCCTTCTCTGCCCAGTGTCCCTTATGCCTCTTTCTTCTCTCTCCCACTGGATATTTTCTATCCCAGCTTCACTGAGAAATACCAATGTCTCAGGGCCAGGCTTTCCGAGCTGACAGCCACTCTCCGGTTAGCTAATGTGCACTCTTCTGTTTCCCCTTGTTCCGAGATGGATACGGGTTGGGGGCAAGACCCTGTGACAGAAAGGAGAATGACCTGCCCTAAGGGGTGCACCAGTCCAACAGGAAGATAAGACACAGGCCCCGGACAGGGAGGACCAGGACAGAGGAGATAAGGATAGGAATCTGTCTGTTTTTCTAGAGAGATAAAGCTGGAAAGGATGGTAATATTTTGGGTGAGACAGTCAGGATTCAAGACGCTTTTGAAAAGCAAGAATAATGAGCCAAACCCCAGCAAGATGACATTTAAAAGGAATAAATATAAAATTCTACATTTAGGCTTTAAAAAAATCACTTATGTAAGCACAGCATGGAAGAGCACTGGTGAAAAAAAGAACTGGGAGTTTTAGTTGGCTACAGGCTTGATGTCGTAGCAATGTGATGCAGCCTCCAAAATGATTATGTAATGTTATCCTGGGCCCTATTAGTGAAAGCGTCATGGCCAGAAGAGAGAGATGGTGCACCTTCTCTTATGCGCGGAGCAGGCCACAGTTGGAAAATTTACTACACTCAAAATGCTTAAAGGGCCCTCCTTGGCCATTCTGGCTTGTAATCAAACAAGTAGAATTTTGGAAAACCAGGTCAAATGAGGAATCGTGGAGGAAGCCAGGGATGTTAAGTCAAGAAGAGAAAACATGAGGGAATCTGAGACTCCTGTTTTCAGATACTCAAAGGACTGTGAAGTGGGAGAGGAATGACGCTAAGGGTTGGAAATCCCAGGGGACAGGTTTTAGCTCTGTATAAAGAACAACCCACCTATTAGAGCTATCATACAAAGGAGTGGGTCCTTTATGAAGTGGTGAGCTATCAATCCTGGGAGGTAATCAAGCACAAGCCAGATGCCCATTGTTAGAAATGCCCCTTTGGGGAGCCCTATATGGAGTGAGAAGTTGGACTAGATGATCCCCAAGGTTAGTTTCAAGGTTAAGCTTTTTTTGGCTGGCATCACCAAATGACAGGAGGGGAAAAAAGAGCTGGAGATGAAGAGGAATTGGGGCAAATGGAGAAGAGGTGAGGGAGCTGGGTAAGAACAGGAGCTAGGGCAGGGGAGAAAATGGACTGGACCAAAGGGAGGTGGGAGCCCTTAGGAAGGAATAGAAGGGAGGATGCTGGGAGTAGGGTTGTGGAATGAGAAGAGGAGAGGGAAGCCTGGAGCTGAGATCCCCCCTGACTCATGCCCCTCCTCTCAGGAATGACATGCCAAGCTCGGAGCTCCTACCTGGTAGACGAGGTGCTGTGGGGCCACCGCTTCACGTCAGTGCTGACTCTGGAGGACGGCTTCTACGAGGTGGACTATGCCAGCTTTCACGAGACTTTTGAGGTGCCCACACCTTCATGCAGTGCTCGAGAGCTGGCAGAGGCTGCGGCCCGCCTTGATGCCCATCTCTACTGGTCCATCCCCAGCCGGCTGGATGAGAAGGTGGAGGAGGAGGGGGCGGGCGAGGGGGCGGGTGGGGAAGCTGGGGCCGACAAGGAGCAGAATGGCTGCCTGCCACCCCCAGAAAGTGAGTCCAAGGTGTGACCAGCTTCCTCCGGACCCCTGTGGCAGACCGGGGGCCAGACACAGGTACATGGGGAACTGCATATCGGAGGAGAAGGAGGAGGAGGAGGAGAAGGTAGGCAAAGCCCCTGGAAATGTGCTAACGTTGGAAAGTCCCCATCCCCCAGAATCTCAAGTCTAGAATCCAGTATGGAAGGGAGGGGTCCTGATTTCAGGGAAATGGAGGGTGGGGCCAGGTGAACATGCCAGTCTGTGTTTGACCTTCACATTTGTTCATGAGTGGATGTATGGACAGAAGGATGGACTTTTGGGGGTTGGATGGGAAGATGGTGGCCGATAAAGACAGCTGACAGATACATAAATGGACCAATAGACAATTGGTTCACTCAGGGCTGCCACTAACCTGTAGAACACCTCTGTGCAAATTCTAAAAAGGAACCCTTTTCCTCCAGACAGATACAGCCCCAAACCAGGGTGCATGGCTTGGGGAGCAGAGTGTAGGATGGATTGCAGTCCCCACTCACCTCTTCTGCCAGCCTCCCCACATATGGCACAACTGTCTAATGACACGGTAGGCCAAGCTGAAGCAAAGGAGAAAGGAGCCGCACCAAGATGGACACATGAGGAGGGTGCCCTCCTAGCTCCACCCTCCCCAGGATGAAGGGGTGCAAGGGGGCTCAGCAAGGTGTGAATGACCTTAGTCTGCAAGTTCAGGGAAGCAGGCAGAGCAGGGAGGTGCCTGAGCTGGGGCCTGGAGAAGGGCCTGGGAAAGGAAAACCAGCGATGGCTATTTTCTTACAGTGGAGTGAGATCTTACAGGTATCAGGCACAGGCAGGAAGAGGGAGAGAGCTCCTGAGGAGGAAGGGACAGAGAGAGATCTAGAAAGTGGGTTCACTAGAGCTGGGACACAGGGAGCCCCTAGGAAAGCAGTGTGTCCTTGGGGCACAGTCATTCACATCACTGATTGGGTGCCATGTGAGTGGACATTCAAAAACCTGGTTCCTGTCCTCAAAATAAGGGGCACCTGGGAAAACAGAGGAATCGACCTGTGGCGACCGAACAAGGGATGATTCAAACTGACAACCTGTGCAGTCCCGCGGAGGGTGGGGGAGTGTGGGTGATCAGAAGGCTGGGGCCGGTGTAAGCCATAAGGAATATGTAAGTCAGGAGTTAGAAATCTTCAGTGTGCATTGGAATCACCTGGAGGGCTTATTAAAACACAGATTTTTGGGCTCCACTCCAAGGGTTTCTGACCCAAGAGGTGGGTCAGAGAAAAATGTGCATTCCTAAGAAGTCCCCAGGTCATGCCGTTGCTGCTGGACTGGGGACCACACTTTGAGAACCTGTGCTCTAAGCAAAGACTTGGAAGTCCTATCAGGACATGGGGTATAGAAACTGAGGAGTAGCTGAGAGGAAGATGAGAGAAGCTAAGAAGAAGCTGAGGATCCTCACAGGAGCAGACAGAGAAATGTGAAGGGCAGGGTTTTGTGTGTGGGAAAGGGACCCGAAGCCCAGGCTGAAGAGTTTAACTTTGGGCCCAGGAACTCAACCATCAGTGGAAACAGGGCAGTGACAAGTGGAGGGGCTGTCTGGAAGCTGAGCAGGCCCGACAGAGAGATGAAGCCATCAGAAGGACTTGAGGGGGTTCCTGGGGAGGCCAGGGGGAGGTGGAACAGGAAGGGTTTTAGGGGCAAAGGACAGAACCCCTTGTAGGACTGGAGGCAGGATTGAATGTAGGAGAAAATCTGAGAGAAGTGATAGGAGTCAGAACATCTGGATGTGTCTGCAGCCTGCTGTCAGCCCAACTGGGCCAGGGGGTCCCAAAGACACATATTCTCACCCCACCTCCACCTGCTTCCTGATCACATCCCAGTCACCAGCGGCAGCTTCCTGGATGGTGGGGAAGAACAATGGCAAGTTGAGAGGGGCAGAGGGGTGCAAGGGACCTGAAGCTGGCCTGGAGAAAAGCGTAGGCCCAGGAGAGCCTGCCTTGGGACAGTGCCTGTCTCCCACACAGCAGCACTGGCCCAGCAAGAACCTTCTCCCTTGGCCCTGGCCACATCCCACTCCTGCCCTTTCATAAGTCCCCTGGGGAAAGCACCCGTCTTCTCTGTTCCAGGCTGGACAGCCAGGGTCCTATGGGCGCAGTCAGGGTCCTATGGGCACAGCCAGGGTCCTATGGGCACAGTCAGGGTCCTATGGGCACAGCCAGGGTCCTATGGGCACAGCCAGGGTCCTATGGGTCCTCTGGAAGCAAGAAAGGGGGCCATGGAAGGAACCCAGACAGTTTGGGTTCACTCAGAGAGGACCCAAGTCCCAGTCCCTTCCTTTCAGTCAAAGCACGGATATCTTTGCCTCAGGTCACAGGGCACCAGGGGGTCCTGTCATCAAAGATGAGATTCCTGAATGCTGGTATTGGCTGGTCCCCTAAGAACAGACGTTGAGGGGTGGAATGGGGATTCATTTGGGTTTCAGAAAAACAGGGGAGTCTGGACAAGAGGGGATGGGCTACTTGGTATCCAGACACACGCACTCACACAGGAGCCAACCCTTTGCAACTGAACAAGCAGAGAAACTGAGGCTGGAAAGGCCCCTCCTGCCTGCTGAAGTCACTGGGACCCTGCCACACCTCTCCTCGCCACTGTCACCACTCAGGGCACCACTGTACAGTGCAACAAGTCAGGAGACCTAGGTCCTACTCCTGACACTTGCTAATTAGCTCTATGACTCTGGGCAAATCGCATATCTGGGCCTCAGTTTCCTCATCTGTAAAAATTACACTTAGCAAACTCGTAATGCTCAATAAATGTTTAAATAACAACTGAAGGAGGCCTACTGGATGCCTCTTAAGGTGCCGTGCAGGTAAGAATTTTAGGATCAGAGAATCCTTAGGCAAGAAAATTCATGAAACTCCTGAGGCACTGGAGGAGGGGTGAAGCTGAAGGATGGGAGGGAGGAGATCCCAGGGTGGGTATAGGCAGGTGAGGCAGGTATATGCGGGTGTAGCAGGTATATGCGGGTGTAGTGGGTGTATGCGGGTAGTGGGTGTATGCAGGTACAGCAAGTACATGCGGGTGCAATGGCTCTGTGGACACACAGGCCCTCCCCTGACTGCCTGTTGTCCCAGCCTGAGTATCAGTTGTGTTCTGAGGCTTCTATTCTGCTGCTATCAGTCAGAAGGAACAAGAATTGCAGCCCCAGGGTCTAGTGGGAGGACTCAGGTCCAAGACTAGCCTGACCAGGAGAATAAGAAGAGTGGGGGAAAGTCTGGGGAGCTCAGAAAAGGCACTGCCCCTAGAGGCCCATGCCCTTTAACATGGGAGAAGCTGGGGAGGGGGGACCACATGCAGCTGGAACCTACCCTCCTTTTCTATGCTTCCCTCCCCAAGTAGGAGTCCAGTCAGGAGTTGTCTCAGCCCTGACAGTTCAGGCAGCAGATGGAACCCAGGTGTCCCCTCCTGGGGTAGGTGGCATGGCCCGCGGAGGCCAGATGGTGTTTGTGGTGGGAAGAGAGGCCTGGGTCGTCCAGAATAGGTTGTCAACCCCCAACCACCTCCCTACTGTGCACCCTGAGCCTTTTACAGTCTCATGGTAGGGAAGACACAGCCAAGCCTGCTTTTTATAAAACCAGTTTATTCACCTTTTAGAAAAACTAATTCCAGGATGGGGAATGGCCTCCCTATAGGATCCCTGTGAGATCAAGAACAGAAGGCCAGAGGGAGGGGCTTGGGAGGGAAGGAGTGGGGAAGGGGAGGCATGTTTCCCATTCTGGGTAGTGGGAAGTCAAATAAATTAAAGGAAGAGTGGACAGAGGGAGAGGGTGTCCAGGCAACCAGAGGAGGGCTTGGAGCTGGGCCGGAAGACAGTCAACACCTGCAAGACCTGAAAAGGGCACCCAGTGTGAGCTAAGGACAGAGAGCCCTGCATGGGGCTCCCTCGTGGCCTCCACCCCTTAACAGGGCCCTGTGGATCTGAGCTGCCTACTCCTCCTCCAGGTGGGGCCTGGGAGGGAGCAGCTTGGTTCAGGACTTGGTGGTGGGAAGCCCAGTGAAAACAAGGTTGGGGGGTTCTTTTCCCTCACCTGGGGAGTAAGAGATCACCGTTTTCGAAGCCTCTTCATGAAGCAGCAAGTGATGGTACCAAGGACAGTGGCACCAGTGACTAGGGCCACCCCTGTACCCACCAGCAGAGGCACCAACAGGGTGTCCAGGGCTGGGGGAGAGAGTATGACTGTTCAGAGAGGATGCCATCATCCTCCACCCATCACACTTGCCTCTACACGTTCCCCATCAAGTTCTCTGAACCCACCTTCTCCATTCACAGGCACCCCATCCCTGCCCACAGCCTGCCCTCTCAGCATGCAAGTCAGCATCAACCACAGAGGACCCCATGCAGGTGGGCACTGCAGGGCTGGAAGTTGGATTTTTTGAGACTTCATGTGACAGGATGTGGAGGAGAGAGATAGTAGCAGGAGGGTGAGAAGATGGGAAGGGAAGGCCAGCAGCAGGGGCCGGCAGGAAGGCAGAGCGAAGAGGGTGGAGGGGTGTCACTTACCATGCATGTAGGGGTAGACTGTAACAGGCCCTGAGCGGGCACTGCCCGCCTGGTACCAGCTGTAGTCAGCATGCTGCACCCAGGCGCTGGGGGCACAGTGGTACACGCCTTCATCCTCGGGCCCCAAGCTGTGCAGTCTCAGCCGATGGCTTCGGGGCCCCACCAGCTCTACGCTGACAGGGCCTCCTCCAGGCCGGACTCCCAGCTCTGCCACACCATCCTGGCCCACGCCACCCACCAGCTGGGCAGGGACAGAGCTGAGCTCTCCGTCCTCTGGTCGCTCCACCCACCAGCTGGCGGCCAGCCGCAGTCCTGGGGGGCCACCCCGCACAGAGATGTTGCACAGCAGGGAGGCAGTCTCCCCCCGGTACACTGTGCCTCCTGCTAGCCACGCCACAGCCTCCAGCACCACGCCTGCAGAACAAAGGACATGGGGTCAGAGGGTGCAGGGCCAGGGAGCATGGGGTCAGAGCTGCTGCCAAGCACCGCCGCAGGAAACTCAGGGTATTCCCACAATATTGGGAGAAGAGGAGCGTGAGGCTGTGGCATGCAAGCAGCTGATGGAGAGGGAGGGGGGCATGGAAACAGAAGGAAAAGGAGTTGACAATCCTCAAACCCTGTCCAGGGCCCAGCCCCCTCTCACCTTCCTCCCGCACGTGCACAGGGAGAGGCCGGGAACGGGCACTGGCTGCTTCACGAAGCCGGGTCCCAGACCCCCGAACGTAGGCTTTGGCGAGGCAGCGGTAGGTGCCCGCATCACCAGGCCTGGCAGCCTCTAGCCGCAGCCGGTATGTTCTGGATGCCACCTTCTCCATGGCAATGTGTCGGCCCTCATAGCCAGGGCCCAGGCTGCCCACACCCTCTGTGTCCAGCTGGGCTACCAGGCGGCCAGGCCCAGGTGCCCCCGCAGGTGCCATCTCCCAACCTACAGAGTATGCAGCATGACGGCCTGCTGGGGGAAGTGCCCCTGACACATTGCACAGCAGTTCCAAGGGCTCCCCTGGGCCGATCCGACGTTCACCAGGCCCCACTGTTACTGCCAGCTGGCTGGCTGAAACACAGGAAGGGGAAGAGGTGTCATGGAGGCAGGAGGGGACACAGAGGCACCTGATTCCCAATTTTCTGTTTCCTCCTTGACAGCAGCAACTTCAAAACCTCCTGTCTGCCCCTCACTGGGTATGATCATCTTTCTACTTGGGGGCTTGAATCTCACCCCTCAGCCATGGGCCTCCTATCTCTATACCCAATTTCTGAGCAGAGAAAACCCATCAAGGGCAGAGGGGAAAGAAATGCTAACAAGGCTGCTCACTCTGTGGAAGATGAGTTCCTTGGAGTCAGATGATAGCTCTCTGGTACCCCCTGCGGCCACAGCGCCCACCAGGATACTGTCCCTCCCAGCTCCCACAGTGGGATGTGTAAGTGGTACTTACACAGTGTCTGCACGTCCACGTGGGCCAGGACAGCCCTTTTCTCTGCGATCTGGGCCCAGCTGCCATCAGGATCCTGAATCCACTCAGCGGCAGTGCAGTGGTAGGTGCCTGCGTCCCCTGCCTGGGCACCCCCTACTACCATGCGGTACCGATCGGTCCCTTCCTTGCCCAGACGAAGCTCCCCTGCAGCCAGTCGCTCAGCATAGGGAGCTCCGGCCTCCACGGCCAAGTCTGACCGGATTCCCACCACTTCCTGCAGAGTTGCTCGCCCAACTGGTGCCTCAGGCACAGATCGCCCAAAGGACACAGCCAGGTGTGTGTGCTGCTGTGTGCTTGTCCTCGCCAGGCAGCCCAGTGCCAGCTCCTGCCCCTCATGCACCATCAGGCGTGGGGGTGAGGTTGGGGCCTGGCGGCCTCGGGGCCCTGGGGGGGCAGCAGACACCTGGAGGGCATCTGGAAGAACTGGAGAGAACAGCTGGAGTGAGGGAGGGCTGGGAGCTGGCAGCCCTTGTTACTGTTTCCTGTGTACAGCCTATCTCCCTAAATAGACTGTGAGCTCTCAGAGGGCAAAGATTGCATGTTGTATTATTTCCTCTGTAACTCAGTGGTGCCAAGTGCAGTACTGGGCACAGCACAGGCACTCAATAAATACTTGTTGAATTTCATAGAACCAGCCCATGTTGGTTCTATGTTCGAGACTGACCCCTGTTTGAAATACTGAGAAAAGTGGTTCTGTCTTCCTTCTCAGAACACAAAGAAACTTAGTGAGAATGTCACACGGTCTCACTCCTTCCCTAACTCTACTCTCTTTGCCAGATCTGGGTCCTGTACTGTCCAGGAGTAGAGTCTATTCAACCCAATAGTCTTCCTCGTTCTTGGGAATGGAAAGGGGAATAGACAACTTAAGGACCCTTCTTCTCCCAGGAGGGGTCTTGATATGATAAGTCAAGCACTGGCCTGGGTGAGGCAATCTGGGTTTGAGTCCCATATCAGTCACTGAGTTATTGGGCGACTTTGTGCAAGTCACTTAACCTCTTTGGGCCTCAAGTTCCTTGGCTACAAAACCTAAGGGGCAGTTAGATAGGTCACTTGTGGCTTTGACTTTCTGCCTTGAGAGGGTGTGTGGCCCCACCCCGTCCCAGGGCCCAGTACCTCTCAGCTCCACCTTGCCGCTGTAGCTGCCCAGGTAGCGGGTATCAGTGGAGGGGGTGTGGCACTCATAAATGCCAGCATCCTGGGCCTGCAGGCGGGCAATCTTGAGCACCACAGCATCACCTTGTAGGCGCTGCACCTGCACCTCACCCGCCACCACTCGGGACTTGAAGATAGCATAGGAGAACTGGGTATCCTTGGTACTGACAATGCCCAGTGCAGTATCTGGGGCCTCAGGCCTATACAGGAACCACTCGAAGTTCTGCTGGGCAGGTCCCTCGTAGCCGGTCACGTTGCAGGAGATGGAGACAGCTGTTCCAGTCACGCGGTACAAGGGCCCCTCGGGGACCAGCACCTCCCGGGCCCAGCATCCCATTCCTGTAGGGAAAGGCAGAAGAAGTTGGAGATGCCTGGTTCCCCATTCCATGCCCTCTGCCACCACAAGCACCATTCTTGATCTCTGCCTACAAAAGGAAAGGACACCTGAGGAAGATGGTCCACAGCTTGGACCCTGTTCTGAGAATAGGAAAGGGATGCTGTGATATAAGACACCTGGATCTCAAGAAGGTGGCACAGGCCCAGGATTGCCTTGGCACCTAGATGCATCCCATTTCTGGTGGACTAGAAGCAGAGCGCCTAGTACATCTGATTCCTGACCTAACCAGGCTTTGGTTCCAGCTAAACCTTGATCTGTCCCTGCCACTCACCCACCTCCATGTCTGCCATTCCTTCCTCAGTGCCTGGCCAGGCTGGGGGATGGTGAGACTACATGTCCCTCCCCTTTGCTTGAGGGGAGCTGGCAGTCTTGCTCAGAAGTGCTAGTTGGCTCAGCTGTGTCACCTGGACCAGACAATGGAGCCAGTGACCCTAGCTGGAAAGGGCACAGGCCCAGTCAGTTCTCACCACACAATGCCCTCCCCCCTCCAGCTGCGCCATGAGCTCACTGCTTCTCTCACCCCACAGGGCTGCCCAGGCAGCTGGGGCTTCTGGGGCAAGGTCCAGGCTCTGCTCTCGCCACTGGGGCAGAAGATCCCCTCCTCCAGTGCCTGCCAACCTTCCTGGCTAGCCCAGCAGACACACAAGGCGCCTGCCCCAGTTCCTTAACAAAGCCTTCATTTGCATATGGTATGCATTCATTTACATATATGGCTTTCTTTCTGTAGGGAGGCATTAAATCCCAAGCTGCCCCTTCTCATCTCTCTCCCTTCAGAAAGGTCAAACCTCTCTTCTTCACCCTACTCCACCCCTATGCCCAACTCTACCCCAGCAGATACTCCTGGCAGACTTAGAGGGCTTAGCTCCTCCCTTCTCTCCTTCCATAGCTCCCACTAGATAAAATCGCAGAACCTCAGAATGTAAAGAGGGCTAGGCTACCCCTCCCCCCCTCCCCATTTTACAGATGAGAAAGGTAAGGCAGGAAAAGTATAATATCTTAGCCAAGATCATGCTGTCCCTAGATGGCTTCCACACCCTCCTCCAGAGGGGCAAAACCAGGGAGGAAAATGGGGAAACTCCAAGGCCAGGCCTGAAGGGACTGACCTCACCAACCAGAGTGTCACTTTTAGGCCTCCCAGGGGGATACCATGGACTTTCTGCAGAAGCTAGAGGAAAATGCCCAGGAGTCTGTGGTCAAACTCTACCCTCCAGCTTCTCTAGAATGGCTCCTCTGAACTTCCCCACCCCTGCTGCTGGGCTCCTAGCCCCTTCCTTTATCCTCTGGCTGAGTCACAGGGAGAACTCATGGTCTGTTGTTAAGGGCACAGGCTGTCAATCAGGAAGTGAGATTCCAGCACCATCCCCATGCCCAGCTGTGTGGCATGGGATCCAGTCTCTTTCTGTCCTAGGCCTCGGTTTCCACACTGGAGGAGAACTAAGAGCTCCAGCTCTGACCCTGCATGAGTGCGTATGTGACTCAGGAGAGCCCTGCCCCAGGCCAGGCAAGTTTCATAATCAGGGTGATGGTGGAGACGGCCAAGCTGACACCTTCCCTGACTGCCTCGGGGCAGACTGCTCAGAAGGCCCCCTCCCATCTTCCTGGCTCCACAACTGCTGATGCTTGGAGATCCCCATGGGAAAGTTACCTCCACAGCCTTAGGAAATCAGTTGCCACACAGCTCTCTCACCTCCTCTGTATTAGTTGCAGCGAGGAAAGGGAGAGCAAAGAGGCCTGCTTTGGAATCAGATCTGTGTTCAAATCCTTGCCCTAATACTCACTAAATGTGCTCTCTGGGGCAAGTTACTTCAATTTCCTCACTTGTGAAATGAATGTAAGTGCCCACAGGCAGTGGGTGCTCAGACGTCTGCGTGCTCCTTTTTCAACCACAGGCCAGCACTTCCCCACCTCCCTGGGCTCCTCCCTGCTCCATGCTGCCCACTGGGGAAAACACAGCAAGTGCTAGGCAACCCAGGTCCCACAGAGCCTTCCTCTCTGTACATCCTCCTGCCACCTGCCCAGGGACCAAGGAGAGGATTCATCCTAGCCCTGCAGGGCCCAGGGACCTGCAGCAGGGGAAGGCTTTGCTTGGTGCCACTGTGGAGCCCTGGTCTAGAAACAGGCAGCTGGGGCTACCTTCAGCCTCTGCCTTGACAACAGCAGCTCTGAAGTCACCATCCCCACCTCCACGCTTCACTCTCATTTCAAGGGCTTCAGCCTCATCAACATCTGTACTGGCAGTTTCACTTCTCCACGCCATACTCTTCCCCAGACCACCTCCTACAGGCAGCCTTCCAGTTCAGGCCAAAAACAATTCCACTGTCATTACCCCCAGGCATCCATGCAAGATTAGCCCAGAACAACCCACCATGAACACCCACCACAGCAGGCACAAGGTGCTTTGAGATCCCAGGATCAGTCTCCATGGAACCTGGTTTCTCCTGAGGCAAGGAAGCTGGAACTAAGCGGGTGTGAAAACTGATGGGTGGCTGCAGAGCCAAGTGCCATTTGGGAGAGAGGAAGAAGGGCAAAGAGGGACCCAACCTGGGGTGGAGATGGGGGTGAGAGAGAGAACTGCCCCCAGTTGATGAAGTGTGTGGAGCGCAATTGGGAGAGACTTACTTCAAAGATCGTGGGCAGAACTGGCCTCTGGGCCTCCAGCCAACTCTAGGGCAATTATGAAGCTGGGCAGGCACTGCCCACGCAGGGCGGGCACCCAAGGCCAGGCCTGGAGATGAGTGTGGGGCAGAAAGGAGTCGCAGCATTTGGTGCAGCGACCCCAGGACGTGGGTATGCTAGCTGAGAAGTGGGGCCTGCCCCAGGAGGCCAAGCAGTGCCTGGGGCAGCACTTTAGTGGGTCCTCCCTGTGCCCCACTCCCTGACTTAGAGCTGGGGAGCCTGCACTCTTCCCAAGACTGGCTCGGCGGGCAGCCACAAAGCGCAGCTGGCCGCCGACCCCGGGGAGGCTGGAGGTACCCCTGACGGAGGAGGATGTGAGGAGCCCCGAAATGCTCGGGAGGTGCTGGGTGGCAGGCACCTGCCCGGCGGGGCCGGGAACCGGAACGGGGGCCTGACTTACCTAGCATTAGCAGCAGCAGCAGCAGCGGCGGCGACGGCGGCAGCAGCGTGGGCCTGAGGGCGCCCATCCTGCGCGGCCAGCTCTGGGGAGGCTCCGGGGGATGGCGCGGGTTCTGGGGGGCCGGTGGGGTAGGGGGCGCATGCCCAGGTGGGGGGCAGGAAGCTGGGCAGCGAGGCGTGGGTGCGCCGAGCGAGCTGAGCTGGAGCTGCCGAATCCCCTCCCTCCGCCCCTCCCGTTGCTTTCCCTCCAGCCCTCGGCAGTTCTGAGACCATTCTAGCCCCAGCCCGCCCCGGCACCGCCCCTTCCTCCGCCCCGTCTAAGCCCGCCCCGCCCCGGACCCAGCCCTGGCCCGGCCCGCCCCACCCCGCCAGACTCAGTTCTTTGCTCCGCACTTGGCCCCGGCCCCGCCCTGACCCTCGAAACTCACCTTTGCTTCGCACCGAGTCCCAGCCCCGCCCCGGTCCCGCCCCTCCCCGCCCCTCCCCGCCCCTCCCCTCCCCGTCCCGTCCCGCAAGACTCCAGCCCTGGCTCCGCCCCGGGTCTCGGCCCAGCCCCAGTTCCGGCCCCTCCCTCGCCCCGCCCCACCAGGACTACAGTAGGACTACAATCTTGGCTCCGCCCCGGGACCCGGCCCCGCCCCAGTCCCAAGCCCCACCCCTTCCCAGTCCCCCCAGGGCTAACGTCAGCCTCCAAACCTGACTCCGCCATGGACCCCGGCCTCGCCCCGCCCCTGGCCCTGGCTCCGCCCGAGGCCCCGGCAAGAGTGAGCTAATTGCACCTCGGCGCATCGAAATTCCCACCCACCCTCGTACAGAGCGCACCCCACCCCGCACCTGCCAGCCTTTCCTGGAGAATTGGGTGCAGGGGCCCTGGGATTGGCTGTGGCCACGCATTTAGAATTCAGTTATTTTCTCTGAGCCATAGTCCTCGCTGCAAACCCTGTTGAAGTAGGGGTTGGCAGAACCCAGGAGTTCCTAAAGGCGAAGGGTTTGAGCTGAAGGGCGCTTCCAGGATCCACAAGGTCACTGGAGACCTGTT